TGAGCCTGGGAGGCAGAGGTTGCAATAACCCGAGATTACACTACTGAACTCTAGCCTGGGTGACAGAGCAAAAAATAAAAAATAAATAAATAAACAAATAAATAAATAAGTAAATAAAGTGACTGGGATATACTGGTAGCAAAAATATCCCTGAGTCTTCCCTCTACTTATATCCCTACTCTTTGTCACATGATTTGGCAGCTCCTCACACTAAAAGTCAGGGTCTGTTCCCCACCCCGTGAATCTGGGCCGGCCTGTGATTTGTTTTGGTCAGCAGTGTGGGTGGGAGTGATGGTGGGCCAGTTCTGATTCCTGGCCTCAGGAAGCCATCAGGTGTGCTTCTGTCCCTTCACTTGGAGCATCACCATAGCCGTCTAAAAGAGCTGTCTAAAAATGCCCAGGCAGAGCTAGTGGAGGATGAGAGACTATATGGAGGAGAGCTCAGCTGTTCCAACAGAGGCCATCTAGGATGGCCGGATGTTCGCTAACAAGGAGCCCACCAAGGTCAGCAGAGCGACCTCCTGACCCTCAGTTGACCACAGAGGCAGGAGCCTAGTCAAGTTCCAAAGATCCACCCAGCCAACCTGTAGTCTTGCAAACAAAAATAAATGCTTGTGTTTTGAGCTGCTGAGGATCGGGATGGTTTTCTACATGGCAATAAATTGTAAGACCATACTGACACTGTCCGTTCACTCCTAGCACCCTCGTTGGTTTAAATTATGGCAAATTATACTAATTTACTCTTTACAGAGGTGGTTAATAACCCATGAATAATGGAAAAGTTTGAAAAGAGAAGTCTGGCAAACAGAACTGGGCCAGAAATTACTTCAGTGGCTCACTGGAAGGACACAGGAACCTGCAGTTTTGTTCTCCTGAATTCTGCTGCCTACCCAGGCAGCTTCAGAACATGGCAAGGGCCTCACAGGTTACTGTTAAGAATAAACGTGTAAAGAAAGTTAAAATCCACAGCAGCAGTTTCAACATCTTCGTGAATTAGGAGGTTAGGTAATACTAATTTCCATGCACGTGAAATTAATTTGGACCCAAATGGGGTCAAATGCAAGGTCAGCATGCTTTCCTCCATGCACCACAACCACTGGCCTAAATGAAGGTGTGGTGATGGCAAACCCTGGGCTCTGTACTCTTCGTTTCTGTTTTGTAACTGAATCTAGCAGGACAATGCAGTTTTAAAAAATGGTGTCTATGACAGATCATGGCTGTAGTTCAGCTAAAAAAGAGATACTTGCAGCTGCTCAATAAGGGCCAAGAAATACTCCCAAGGCTTGTGCAGTTTGGGTATCTCGAGCCAGGCTACGGGTGTGCATAGAATGGACAGTAACTCTTGTCCGGTGGAACTTCTAGACTTCAACTCTCTCAATCCAACACAATTCCAAGTGTCTGCTCTATTGGCTTATTGCACAAGGTTTGGCTGGGCGGGAAGAGTTGCTGGGCACATTCTCTGGGGCCATCTTTCCCTAGCAATCTCCACCAAGCATTCCCAGGGAAGTGTCTGAGTGGTCAGTGGAATGTACCCCAGCCTTGTCTGGGGAAATCCACTACCAAGCGCAAAGTTCTCAAAGATGGGAGAATGCCTAGCTCAATAGTGGGGTCAAGAAAAAAAAAAAGAAATGTAAGAAAAAATAATTCCTTAACTACAGTAAATCTAATGAAAAGGACCTAGTAAAAGGTTCCTTCCTTCTTTCCTTTATTGGGGCAAACCCAGTGAATGAGGGATGACACTACAAAAGCTTTTAGTGCTCTTTGACCTGAGCCTATTTCAATCATCCTACTGTGACCCATTAACTGATGCACAGAGGGGACACCGCGTTAGTGAAAGTGAGAAGATACATCTGCAACTGATTTTTCAGAGCTGGTAATGTCCGCACTGGAAATCCCTTGTAAGTGCAGAAGATCCTCCAGGGATTGGTAAATTATTAGTAAACAGTGAAAAGTACGAAGTGTTGAGGTTCATCCAGACTGGGGAGAAAGAGTCTAACATAGAGAACATCATGTTGGGATGATTTTAGATGGCTATAGCAAAATATTCCTTATAGCGCACAGGGCAAATTCTTGACTCCGTTCTGTAACAAAGATAAGGAAAAATTAGACAGTGTTGTGCTGGCCGGGTGTGGTGATTTATGCCTGTAATCCCAGCACTTTGGGAGGCTCAGGTAGGCAGATCGCTTGAACTCAGGAATTCAAAGACCAGCCTGGGCAACATGGCAAAACCCCATCTCTACAAAAAGAAAAAAAAAAGTTAGCCAGATGTGGTGGCGTGCACCTGTAGTCCCAGCTACTTAAAGAGGCTGAGGTGGGAGAACTGATCAAGCCCAGGAGGTCAAGGTTGTGGTGAGTTGTGGTCGCACCACTGCACTCCTGGCTGGGCAGCAGAGCAAGACTCTGTCTCAGAAACAAACAAACAAACAAACAAACAAATTGAAGAAAGTGCTGAAATGCACCTCATCCTTCAGAGACGGTTGAGAAATGACTCAATCCATGAGGCCTGTTCCAACCCCAAAAAGAAAATCTCTTCCTGCTCTATGCTCTCACATGTCAAAAATAAATGCCTTTGAAAAATTAGAAGAACTTGCTAAAAGGAAATACATTCATTAAGGTGATGGGAAACTAGCACTTAAAGAAATGTTGAAGACAATTCAACTACTTTTGCCTGGACAAAAGACTAGAAAGAAATTAATTTAAACCTCGATGTATCTCATTTATATTCCCACTCTGAATTCAGCATGATGAATTTATAATACAAGCCTTCCTGTACTTACTGTAGGCCCCACCCAGGAGCTGTACATGTAGGGAATATATGCTCATTTCAATATCAGCCCAAGCAAATATAATTGGAAGACTGCTTGAAATCATACAATGGCTTTTCAAGTCAAAAATACTGGGAGTATTTCCTTTTCTGTTTTATCTACCTCAGTGTTCCCCTGTCACATACATAGTTATCCAGGAGCTGATTGCTGATGTAGAAATATAAGTAGCTGTTTTCAGTATTACTAGGAAGTGAAAATGGGTGTAAGCATCAAATATAGGTGATGCATAGAGACTGCCATTGGAAGGGCAACGTTCAATGACGTAGGAAAGCGGTGGGAAGAATGGCTAGGGGGTGGAGGGACAGCAACGTCCCATCATGGAACTTGTGGCCACGGTTATGGGAAAGAAAATGGGCAGGATCTGGATATAGAAAAGCTTATAGGATTACTAAAAACAGAAGGAGGCAGAAAGGTGAGCAAAGATGCCCGACGTAGCAGATGGCAGAGGCAGGAGAGTGGCTCAAGACTTAGGCAGAAAATGGTAAGGAGGCCAACACTCTAGAAAAAGGTACGTCATTAAAATCTGATTTTCAAATGTTCCGAAGAAATCCATATGTGCTTTCGTAGCAACTGTGGAAAACATTTGTTTGGTGGATGGAAAAATGCTGTGATTGCAGAAGTATAAAAACGAATAATGATTATTAAATATATATGAGATACAGAAAACCATTTTGGTTTAAATTTAAAATTTTGTAATTATATTTTAAAATTGAAAAGCTAAAATGACACTGATTTTTATTTCAATGACCACCTTTTCTTCCCGACAACTTCAATAACACGGGATGCTTAGCTTTTCTCTTCCAGAATTACTGACAACTGATAACTAGCTGTTTAGTCCCAAAGTCTCATTCAACCATGGCTAAATAGGGAATGTTGGATTATTCATAAGTCCAAGTAAAAAAAGAGCTAGCAGCAAAGGGAACTCATTTGCTCATTTAAGGAAGCCCCTTATTTTACAAAATATATGGCTTTTTTTTTTTTTTCAAATACTGTACATGTACTCTTTGAAAATGGCTCACATCAAATGTAGCAGAAATTTACTTCAAATACAGGTACCTGTGCAAATACTCAGTCCACGGTCAGCATTTAGGGCATAAACTGAGGAAATCAGAGGCAGCTCCCCTTTACTCCATGCCCTGAAGCTCTGAGCACAAATTAAAGGATCAATATGAACGCTTTGGCTGAATGTCTGGTCCACCAGCAGACACACTCTCTTCCACACTGCTCTTAGCACAAAATTTTATGCCACATTAAAAAGGAAAACCGCAAAGGTCTTTCCTTATTTACATTCAGATTTGCAGTTATGTGAGTAAGCATTAGCTGCCATGCAAACACATTGCAAATGGTCTGGGTTAATCTTTTGGTTCCTTTATTCACCACTGACAGCCATGCATTTTATACAATCAGCAACAATTTTGAGGTACACAATGGGTTTATGAAGTGTCATTCACAGTGTTTTATGTAACTGGCTACAATAGAGGTACCACTCAATTTTTATGCCAGGTAAGCAAAGCTGCTTTAAAGCCACGACATTCAGAAATCATGCCCTTAAGGCTTTACTCCCAGTACGAAAGCAGCAGCAGCAGAACTCCAGCCCTGAAGGAGAGCTGCTTTTCCAGGGTCTTGGTAAACCAGAGGCCAGTCACTGTATGTATGATGCAGCTTTCCTGTTGTGTCATGGAAAGAATGCTATGACAAAAGTATTTAGTCTTGTTTTTGAATAAAATGGAATAGGATCCTAGAACAAATTAATTTAATAAATAGAACAATCTGTCATTTGTTCTCACTGCTGATAAGCATTAATTCTAAATAACAGTCATTCTATTTTTATTCTTAAGATCCAATGACCCAGTACAGTGATGCACACGTATCTCTAATTAAAGCACCTGCTATTTTATTGGCCTTACCAAATGTTATTCCTAGGTGTAATCGCCTACTAATGAAATCACTCTTTTACTTAGGGAATCAGAGACACAAAAACTACAGCTCCCCAGAAAAAACACATTATTGTCTTAAGCTAGGAGCACAAGCACTTTCCTTCTATTCCCTGAACATTTCATAAGAAATGTGATAATTAGTAAAGAGACCACTTATCTCAATAAATATATTTAAATCAATGAAAAGGAATAAGAAATTGCCAAAGCTAGATTCGTCAGTGGCGGTCGGCGGCCTCACCTATCAGTGTGTGAAAGACGGCAGCGATGGCCCCGGCCACCACCATACACAGGACGGCTTTGGTCCTGTCTCGCTTGCTGTTCACAAACACCAGGCCCACATTTTTGAAGTCACTCATAGGACCCGTGAAGAACTTCATGAGGGAGTACGCCAGCCCGTAGCTGGCCAGCATCTCAACTGCATCCTCCTTGACAGCAGCAATGCCCCGGTTCAAGGCCTGGGAAGGGGGAAAAAAACCCACAAGTATTAGAAACGTTGTCTCTTCTCTGGGGAATCATATCTCTAAGACGAAACTTAGCAGATCACGTTTCTATAGAAACATGAAGAACTTATAGGGTACATCTCATGTAATTGGATAAAGGTGATTGGTTTTCATTTTCGTCTACATTAGCTTCAGTTTGAGTTTCTTTTTGTGAAGGAGATACCTGTCCACTGCAGTTAAAATAATAGCAAAACACCAACAAATAGTTTATGCTAATATTGAAAAATAATTCTAAGAAGTTTTGGTTAAAAGTTGATTTTTTTAAAAAACTAAATGTTAAATTTTGTTTGCAGGCTGAATCGACATAATGGCAACAGACACGCTGGAAATGAGCCTGACGGTTTATATCAAGGGGATGGGTTCTTTTTTCTTTAAAGAAGGGGGGTGTGTGTGTTCATGTGTGTACATGTAATCTTAAATACTTGGTATACGTTATGTATTCTTCATAGCAGAGTTCTATGCTATGAAAAAAGTACTGAAGGAATTTATTTTATTCATCATTAATGCATGTTGTTTACCTGATTCCTACATTTTGGCCTGAAATACGTTCCTGAGCTCTATGCAGACACATATGAAAAGAACACCTTTAGACTAAAAAACAAATGTTTTTGGATAATGGTTATACAGGAAGATGCGGTCGTAAAATACCCTGAATACTTTAGACATCCTCCAAGACAGACACTCTTAGGCACTGTAGGCCTTGTTGGGATGGTACTTCCAAACTAACTTTCCCACCCCGTAGACAAATGAGTAACAGCAGACCAGTGGGAATGGATGTCCAGGTAGCGGCAGCTTTCCGACCGAAATGCCTCTAGAACACTGCCTCTGTCATTAGGAACAGGCAACTATGCAGAAGAGCGGGCTTTCTGTCTAGTTATATATTTGTAAAAAACAGACTGTTTTCAAGGCAGTTTTAGGTTCATAGTAAAATTGAGCGGAAAGTACAGAGCGTTCCCATATATTCTTTGCCCCCCACAAACACGGAGCCTCCCCTGCTATCAACATCCCACACCAGAGTGGTACATGTCTTACAATCAACGAATCTACGCTGATACATCATTATTACTCAAAGACCAGACAGTAGTCCCCTCTTATCCTTAGGGGATACATTCTAAGACCCCCAGTGAATGCCTGAAACTATGGAAAGTACCCACATTTTTTCCTATATATACATACCTATGAGAAAGTTTAATTTATAAATTAGGCACAGTAAGAGAGTAACAACAATAATCAAACAGATTATAACAATATACTATAATAAAAGTTATAGGAATGTGGTCTTTCTCTCAAAATATCTTACTGTACTCCTTGTGATGAGAAAGAGATGAAGCAAGATGGTGAGCGATTTCATTACACTACTTGGAATGGCATGCAATTTAAAACTTATAAATTGTTTATTTCTGGAACTTTCCATTTAATATTTCTGAACCTTGGTCAACCACGGGTAATTGTAACCATGTATAGTAAAACTGTGGATAGGGGTGACTAGTGTAATGTAGTTTACATTGGGGCTCACTCTTGGTATATTGTACATTCTGTGGATTCTGACAAATGCAGAATGACGTATATCCACAACATATTTTTAAGAAAAAAGATACGCTAAAGTGTTGGCCTACCATTTGTCACTCATCCAATAGAGACACGATCACATTCACAGAATTCATACTCAGTCTCTGCTATGTAAACTGAAAGAAGAAGAAAGAAATTCACTTTTCCTGTCTATTTCCTATTTCTATTAATCAAGACAGCTGTCGATAATTTTCCCTACAAGTATATGGTTATAGCCATAGTCTGAGAGCTACCTTGCTATACTGGGTAAAGCTAATCTCAACAATACCAAAGGAGCCAATGGGTGCTTGAAAGAGGAGACTGAATACAACAAAAGATTCAAGAACTCATTTTCAAACATATATGAGAATCATACTACATTATAACAAAACAAAGTAAACTCAATCCACCATTGTGTTTCACTGAATCTGATACTATAGACTGTAAGCGTATGGCAGATACATCTGATAGCAATAACTTCAGCACACCCTGAGAATGACCCTGCATGGTAGATGCACCTGATAAGAATAATAACTTAAACATACCCTAAGAATGCTGATGCACCTGATCTACGTAAACTGCATGCTTTTTACCAATGGTAGCAGCTCTCCTGTCGGGCCTGCCACCACTGGACTTCCCTGTATGTAAGTCCCCTCGGTAAACAGGGTTTAGGTCTCAATCACTGGCTCCGGGTCTCTTCTTTGGCCTCTTGAACGTGGTGTCATCCTTACTGAAGTCAATATGGGTCTGACACAACAGTAAGGTACATTATTAGTTATATGCCACTAAGAAAGAAAAAATGTTCCAGCCGGGCGCGGTGACTCACGTCTGTAATCCCAGCACTTCTAGAGGCCGAGGTGGGCAGATCCCTTGAGGTCAGGAGTTCAAGACAAGCCTGGCCAACATGGTGAAACCCCGTCTCTACTAAAAATACAAAAATTAACTGGGCGTGGTGGCGTGAGCCTGCAATGGCAGCTACTCTGGAGGCTGAGGCAGAAGAATCAGTTGAATCTGGGCGGTGGAGGTTGCGATGAGCTGAGATCGTGTCACTGCACTCCAAAAAAAGAAAAAAGACAAAATATTCCCAATTGTAATTGGATGTCATTGATTATAAAATGTATCCAGATTTCCGAGTTGCTAAAATATGGAGGTGGAAGGAGTGTGCCTCAGAATCTATGAAAGGAGGTATTTCATGTTACTCTTCAAGTTATTCCTTAGTTTCAAGGGGTGATGTAGTTTGTGGGCCTATATGTAATCCAGCATCAGCAGGCTTTGGCAGAAGCGCTGGCAGAGCTACTCGGCAAAACTCAAGGGCTTCACATTCTGTTCCTTTGTTTCATTCCTTCACCAGGAGACACAGCTGACTGGTAGAATGAGAACTTAAGGGTTGACATTCTCTGCAAAGCACTGTTAGGAAAAATGCGTTTACAGGAAAATACCAATGTGAAAATACAATTAAAAAAAAAATCTAGAATAAAAATGTACGCTAGCCGTAGGAACTCATTATCATTTTTCTGACTCAGTTGGTATTATATAAGCTAGCTTCTGATAATTGTTTCCAATTTTATCTCTAATTGTTTTCCTTTTTTCCACTAATAACGGTGAAAACTTCCATAAGAACCTTCTCAGCCTCTGCAGAGCACACCTGCCATGACGCCTTTCTTAGAAACAAATTTTCCCTGATGGAATACATTAACACCCTAAAACAAAATAAAAACCAAAAACCTCCTTTATATCAAGTGCCTGTGTTCAACAAACATCTCTAGTCTACGGGCTCCTCCTGTCTATGTGCAAAACTTACCACTTGACAATCTACCAAATTAATTCCCTTTGGCCTTCTGCAGGGGACACTGTTGGTGTCTCACCCAGATCCCCTATCCTTTACCTGGCAGGGGACCCATCCCCAGATGCTGGGAGTTGGCCACTAACGGCTCACAGGTGTCTTCTTGTCAGGGAGAAGTACTGCTAGCCACTTTGCATTAGTGAAACTCATCTGACGCGTCCACCATAGATCCAACCAGCACGCAGCCACCCGAGTGTATAAGATCAGTGTCCTGCCTGCAAGTAGGACCACTGTGGTACAATTCATGCTCCAGAGTTCTCCCTGGGATCAGGGTGAAGCCAGTCTCCAGTGGGGACCACATCGTCGCTTCACTTTTCCCCACCGCCTACCCTGCTTCCTCCCCTACACACAGGTTTTGCTTCTAGAGAACTCCATTTAGGACAGCTTCTAATCACCTATTTGTCAGACGTCAAGAATAGTGTATGGTTTGTTTTCTTTCCCATCCTTCCCAAAATCTAGGATTGTGAATTGTTTACTTGTTTTTATTGCTCGAATGTGTTAAATCTTGGATGATATCTATTATTTAGCAAAATTTTAAAAGCATCTCATAGGGCACCTAAATAATGGAGGACTAGACATTTTATGTGTCTTCTTGGCAAAGCATTCTTTATTTTATTTTTTTTGCTAAAAACACACCAGCCTGGGCTGAGGCATCCACTGAAATGCTTTCTATTTCCACCAACAGTTTCCGAACTTGAGTCCTCAAGCCAGTGCTGAGGCAGGTGGGAAGAGAGAGGGCCCAGGTAATGAGAGCTCTGTCAGTGAGATGAAGTGAGAAAGTTTCATTTAGCCCGACGATTACGGTAATTTGAGGAAGAGCACAGGGTTTAAAGCCATGCAGGCTTGAGTTGGAATCTGCTTCTATCACTTAACCGCTGAGTGGCCTTGGCTAAAGTACTTACTCTCCCTAAAATAACCCAACTGATTTGAGAAGCAAGGTAGGTAGTGCGCAGGGCACGAAGCAGTGGCTGGCTGACAGTCGCTTGAAAGCAAGGATTTTTGCCGCTTTTGTTTACTGCTGTTCACCTACCACCTTGTTGCCAAGGCGACATTGTAAACACTCTATTATTTGTTGAATGCACGAATGAATTGGCTATTTTTTACGGAGAACTTAAGTGTACATACTAACTGTATGAACTAATTTTTAAAGAAACACTTCTTAAAATCACATTTTAATTGCAAGATATTATTGCTTGTAAGAGATGCCATTGATTTCATGTTTTTAATGACTGTATTAAATACACACATTATTTGAAAATCATCCTGATTTCAAGAAACATTCAAAAGCATGAAAAGAGATGCAGAATTGAGGACATGAGCTACATTCATATTACTAGCACTTTGCTATCCCCATCTGGAGCAAATGTTTCCCCCAATGTGTTCACTGCTTAGTTCCATGTTTTCTTTTGATACCAGAAACATTGTTATCATGCAGTCTGTCAATCATTTTATGGAGTTTTTTTTCTATGCTTTTGGATTTGCCATTCTTACCCCGCCATAGATAGGATAATTTTGTTCTAATTTACAGCTTCATTTGCACACTTTTTAATCTCCCTGAAACTTA